GAGGGGAGCATCATGGAATCATCCTGTCCGGAATCCGGATGCGCGTGCCGCACCAAAACTGGGCATCAAATTAAGAGCAGTCCCGCAGCTTTTTGGTGGACCAACGGACGTACGGACGGACTTCAAGGCTTCGGGGGCCCAGGATTTGCCATTTTTGCCGGTTTTTTGCCATTTGTCAACGTCGCCAGCTTCAAGATTTTGGCCAAGCTGCAGCTTCACTTTGGCTTCGAGTGTAAAAAATGATAAACGCATTCGCTTATGATGTGCAGAGCTTCCATAAATCATGCTCGCCTCTTCAAAGTTTCCTCTGGTCTCTCCACTGGCACTGCCGCAAATTTGGCCAGGCCAAGAGATGCGAGGAGACCCGGAACTCCAATGGACAGGGGACAGAGGTCGGGGTCCGAGGACGAAGGTCAGAGGTTGCCACGCGACGGCGCTTGGACAAACAAGTGTCGCTCTGGGTTCCACGTTGAGCATGATGATGATGGAGGGCACGAGATGGTTACCACCAGTAGTTCTGGCGATTTACGAGCTCCAAGTGGGGCAACAACCAGTCAGTGGAGTTCCAGCTGCCATTTGATAAGAGCAGGTCAAGTTGCTAGGTAAATAACAAAACGAGTGCACTGGACTTTCTTCTCCAGGAATTTCAGCTCTTCAGCAAGACAGAAAGGGTAAATTATGCTGTGACTATTAAGCCAATTTCCTTTCTTGGCCGAAATTGTCTAAGGAATTTAACTGTACAACTTGTACTGGCCTTGGTGCCGAAGATAAGTGTCTATATCAGAAATAAAACTATTCTGTTTAGGCAAGAACTTGAGCGGGGTTGGCCACAAATGGGCGTTGATTTCCGTATAGTTTTCCCACTCACCAAATCGATTTTCCTAGGCAGGGTGTTCTAGTACTGTGCTCGCAGGGGTTTCGAGGGATTGGGGCTGCCAGAGTCAACAGAGTCCACTGGCCAGTGGAGCACACCACCAAGGATCTGCCCTGGAGGACTAGCACTTATGAAATTGAATGTAAACACAGTGGGCGACCCTTTCCCTGGTTGACTGACTGACATATCGGCGCCAGGCAGGCAATTAACATGCGATTGTCATAAATTTACTCAATGCACAGATTATTAAACATTCATAAAATAAATTACCCAGCCAAAGTGCATAAATTCTCAATTGATTTTAGCGCATTGTGCGGCACAAAGGAAAGCGATTGGGGGAGTTCTGCCCTCGATGGGGGAAAGGAATCTGGATATTGAATTATAACGATGTCGGCCAGAATGGCCAAGGGAAAAACATAAACATAAACATAAATTCCTTCAAAGTCTTCGAGCGAAACAACAATTGCATAGAAATCAATTTCAGCGGAGCGGCGTTCAAGGGTTAAATTCCGAAAGGGGAGTTATAAATTGTGTAAGTGCAACGCGGGGGAAAGTTGCGAGTTGGGGATAGGGGATAAAGACCCCATTTAATGGCGTTTGTGGCTTGTCGCAGGGGTTGAAACAAAGGAAAATCGGAAAAGCGAGCGTCGACTGGAGCACTTGCCATTAAAAGTCGGATAGTTTATAAAACATACCCATTAAATCTTGAACAACCATAAGTAAATGCGGGCATCTAAGCTTTTTTTTTTTTGAAGTTTCTCGACTGCGTTTAAAGCGAAACCGGCTAGTTCATTGGGTTTCTGATTAGTGATTTTCAGGAAGAGCGATTGAATTTAGATTTAGGTACTGCTAACCTAACCGATTAAACAAGCAGAATCGCAGATAAGCTCACTTTTCTCGAAGCTGCCTCCATCCGAGGTGATTGCATTTCAGCTAACTGCATTACCCTGCCCTTTGCCAACTCCAAGCAGATAATTTCGGCCAGAATATCATTTGGAATTCCCTTTCTGGCTCGAAATCGAAGAAAGGGTGGGGGGAGTGCGGTTCCTTCGGGCTTAAGTCAACTGAAGCCCCGAAAAAAATATGGGAGCAGCTCCCTGATGTGAAGTGAAATGGAATTACGAAGAACCAGCTGAATGTCAATGTCCTCCCACAAGAAGCCCTTCCTCTGCTGCTCCTGGGATGATGGCAAAAACAAAGAGCGACCGGAATGTAGTACAGCAGTATGTACAAATATATTTCGTTTTTATGACATTTCTGACAATTTATGATGCAAATTCCTCACCCGAAAACCGAAGAATGAAGCGGTGGCACGAGAAGGCTCCGACAAATTGTCGAGAAATTGCATAAAACTATAAAAAAAGCAAAAAATGTAAAAGCATGAGGGAAAAAACAAATTGTTATGCTGAAATCTGTAATCTGAAGTAGTTGCGGATGCACTCGAGAGATATTTATGGTGGGAGCGAGAGGGGGAATAACAGAAGAACCGAAAGAGACAGCAACAGCAACACTCTGGGCAAAGGGCAAAAGCTGCATGCAAAATTGTTTTATTTGTGCTTTTATTATTTTGCTTTATATTTCGTGATGGCTTTTTATTTTCTGTTGATTCATCAGAAAATAAATTGAAATATTCTTGTTGACAAAACCGTACCGAATTCGGACAGAGAACTTTTTGCTTTCTGCCATTGCATGGTTTATTTAATTTACTAAAACTAACACAACATGGAAAATATTTGTTAATAAAATCACGTTCACACGCTTAAGGCCACAAATCAATTGCTGCCGCCGAAATCCAAATCGAAATCCAAATCGAAATCAAACGTAACGAACCCATCAGCCATCAATGAAATCGGCCCAAACCCAAAGTTCATTATAAAATTATTTGTCCTCTTTTTTTATTTGGGTCCCAAATTCGTGGAAAGCGTTTTGACCGCCAGTGAGGACTCCGCCCCAATTCACAAATTCGCCTTTGGCCTCCATGTGAATCAATATCAATATATCCATCACAACAAACTCTTTCGGCATGTGAGGTCTTCTTTTCTCGTTAATATGCCAGTGTTTTATTTGAAAGTCACACAAACAATCCAGAAAAAATATGTATAGCCGCATGCAAAACAAACTATTGGTAACAAATGTATGTGGACATTTTCCAAAATAAATACTCAAATTTAAACGGCTCCTCGACATCTGGCAACTAACCAAACAGGAATTTTTACGGGAGCTTAATTAAAAAAACACAATTCGCTCTTATTATTTTTTGATGAAATATTTAAATGGAAATGGTGACGAATGGGAACGTGGAATAAGCCTGACTAAAATGAACGGATTTGCTATCTAATTTATAATGGAATTTAATTCATCCAAATCATTTCTGAATGGAAAATCAGGAATGCTTAAACCTCAAGGAATTAACGAATTTAAATAAAGCTGCATAATATAATTTGCTATAATAGAATTTAAATTCATGTAGCAGCTGCAACTAATAATGATTTTTAACACTTTTATCGACTTAGTTTTCTGGAATGAATTCCCACGCAACCCAACCAAAAATTCTCTTTCGACCAGAACGACTCGAATATGGTTGTGGGTTTTGGCCTCTTGACTGATTTCCATTTCGTGCATGTGGCCAAAACTCAGACGTGGCGGAATATGTTATGAATTTTTATTAAGTTGTTTGTGTGCCAAGGAAAAAATTAATTTATCGCCATCGTTATTGTTCGAATAAAAGGCCAAAATCGAAGTCGGTGTTCGAAAAAAACGGGGGGACTTTCGTCATCCTCATCTGGACACCAATCGCCATTATCGATGGACATCAATGTGGGGATATGTCGGGAAATCGGCGGGCGGGGGACGTTGCCTGAATTTAAATGGACAAATTAATTGCGTTTGTCAGACTTGTGGACAGGTTCTGGCCAGTGGAGCCATTGGTGCCATTGGAGCCTTGGCAGCAGCAACAAACCCAAGCGGCCGGACAAAGAATTAATTGGTTTTCGGACACTGGATGAAATATATTTAATTTAGGCTTAATGCCGGACAGAGATTGCATTTTAGTATGCACCCCGCCGTCGTCTCCCACCTACACACAAGTGTCAAATTGGCATTGAATCATGACTGGGACTGTATCTCTTTATCTGTGCGCGATCGCCGGGCCATCAAATAGCCATTAAACAGTAGACACTAGCCCATTATCCTAGCTGATGGGGAATGATACCTGAGAGCCTCCACAAGGATCTCCGATCGTGTGGTGCAGTCGATGATCGAGGATCGGGGATCGGGACATAAATTATCACTTGGTTCTGGGTCCGACAAAGTTGTTTATAGGGGTTCAGCGTGGAGTGGTGATGGCCAGAAGGGAGTCCACTCCACTCCACTGAGGGAAAAGTCAAGCGCTTTGCTGAAGCAGATTTTTTAATATTTTGTACTTATATTCAAAAACTTCGTTGTGTGTATCCTGCTTGCATACAATCCGTGAATAGAAAGGTTTGAAATCCCTCTTTTGTCCGTTCCGAGTTGACAGTTTTATTGTGTCGCCTTTCTGAATTAATTGAGCCGCCCCTCAGCTGCAAATGAAGTCGTTGTCGCGTTTCCAAGGAATGTGGTGAGGATGGGTTCCCCCACTCCTCCCTGGCAAGAACCCCCGAGGGAAGAGGGGCTCGGAGGACCACACATCGCGATGGAGACACACGCAGCTCTGCAAACGAACCCAAAAAGCTGCCCTAACAAATTGCCTCTTCTCTACTTTTTCGGCCTGCGGGCGAGCCGTTGCCAATTAATTATAATTGATTGGCGATATTAACGGAAATTATGATGATTATGATTATTCGCTGGAAATGCACCCGCAGATACGTATGTAGATACGTTTTTATGTTGAAAGATATAACGAGTCACATGGAAAGCTAAAAACTATGCGGATGATGTATGATAAACGACTTAATTGTTTTTGCTCAGCTCGCCGTGGGCATCGAATACTTTAATGATAGATGTGAATGCTAAATGAGCAAACTGGCTGCACTGTAGAGAATTTTAAACTTGGTCTACGTTACATTACCTTTGTTTGCTGCGGTCACATTGCCTGTTATCGATTCCTTCAATTGTCACCCTGAACTTTTTAATCAGAGAAGCCAGTGTGTCAAGCAGTTTTCTTTCCCAAAAGGCCTGGTTCTCAAGGACTGTAGTGGAAAAGCATGAATCGTCTGCGGCAGCCGGTTAGGGAACGTTCTCGGAATGCTCCGCGCTCCCGTTCCCGTTCCCGTTCGCGACCCAGTTCTCGATCCCGACCCACCCGTTCGGATACAATCTTCTCAGACAAGCCGCGACTGCAGCGACGTCTGGGCCGGGCGCCCACATCCTGGGACGTTCCACCGGAGGGATATGGCCAACTGACTCCGCTGCAGTACAAGGCCATGCAGGCCAGCGGGCAGATTGCCTCGCGGATTGTCCCGGACGCCATGCCCACGGGGGAATCGGCCGCGATTGCGATGATTACGCGACAAGCACGCCGTCTGTATGTGGGAAACATACCATTCGGAGTTACGGAGGAGGAAATGATGAAGTTCTTCAATCAGCAGCTCTTGGCACTGGGACTCGCTGGTGCACAGTATATGGATGGCAAGGCTGTGCTGACCTGCCAAACGAATCTGGAGAAGAACTTCGCCTTCCTGGAATTTCGCTCCATGGACGAGGCCACCCAGGCCTTGAACTTCGATGGGATTCTCTTCCGCGGACAGGTCCTGAAGATACGAAGGCCACACGACTATCAGCCAGTGCCCTCGATACGGGTCTCCGCCATGGAGAGCTACAGGTCATTTAGGCTGCCGGACAACACCGTCACCCATCCTCCGCTGGCTACCATTCCTTTGTCCTCCATAGTGCCCGATTCGCCCAATAAGATCTTCGTAGGTGGCTTGCCCACCTGCCTGGGCCAGGACCAGATCAGGGATCTGCTGCAGTCGTTCGGGGAACTGAAGAGACTCAATCTGGTGAAGGATACCAACACATGCCTGAGCAAGGGATTCGCCTTCTTCGAGTACTTCGATCCTACGGTCACTGATCACGCCATAGCTGGCTTGCACGGCATGCAGTTGGGGAATCGCCGGCTGGTTGTCCAGCGGTCCATTCCAGGCGGCAAGCACGCAGTCTCCGGACAACAGCCCTTAGTTCAGGTGCCGGGAATATCCACGCTACTAGACCCTGGTTCCCCTACCGAGATCATCTGCCTGCTGAACATGGTTCTGCCGGAGGAGCTGCTGGACAACGAGGAGTTCGAGGACATTCGCACGGACATCGAGCAGGAGTGCGCCAAGTACGGCGAGGTTCGAAGCATCAAGATCCCACGTCCCATTGGCCAGGCTCCGAAGCGGGGCTGTGGCAAGGTCTTCGTCCAGTTCGAGTCCGTGGAGGATTCCCAGAGGGCGCTGAAGGCGTTGAGCGGACGCAAGTTCAGCGGGCGCATCGTGATGACCTCGTTCTACGATCCCGAAAAGTATCTGCTGGATGATCTCCAGTAATAGCTAAACAATAAACCATACATGCGTATCTCAATGTATTAAAGTGAACATGTATTTAAAAGCCCATACTTAGTCAGTCCATCTTGACAGCTTGCATCGCTGAGCTGGAGTGGCCAAGGTCACGAGCTAGGAGCAAGTTAATACCCAGATCTCGACTCTCGTTGTTGTGATATCATCTGCTTAACGCCGACGGAATCGCTTGAGTTATCTGGGCCGGAATGTGGGGACACGCCCCTCCGCGCCCCCAGGGATTCAATTAGGCAGACCGACTTAAGCTGAAATCCTTAAGCTGCTCAAAATCCGACACCTCCTGCAGCAGCTCCCCCGCTGCTCCGCTGCTCCTTTTTTTCAGTTCCCCTGGAGGAGCCGGCAAAGCTCTTGCTTAATTAAAATTTTAAACTCTACGCTTTATCGCCGGCATTTCTCGGCATATTCACACCTACCATCCGCTTATTACGAAGCCCAGGTATGCCTTGATGCCTTTTCAATGGAGAAGCTTCTTCGGCTGCTTATCTCGCCGCACGGTTGCATTTTCTCAGGTTTCACATTTCGAGGGTCTTGGGCTCTTTTCTTATCTCAAAGGTTGGTCATTTGGTCGACAGCCGATCATCAATACTCGTACGCGTAATGAAATGGCTGGCACACGGAAAGAAACAAGTTTAGCAGGTCGGAAATGAAAGGTATTTGAAAAATATGTTACCAGATCTTTACCTCACAATCTTACCTCCGGGCCAGGAGTAACAGCCCGTTTCTCACAGTGCAGTGCTAAGAGCGTTGAAAGCCCATCTCCAGACTGAGCGATTTATCAGTGGCAACGACGACCACAGCTAAACGCTTTATCGGTCTGGAGGAGATTGTGGCAGGAAGGATGGGAAGAGCTGAGCACTTGAGTGGACCTGGACCGTGGCCACAAATTAATCCAACGCCTTGGACTTTTGTCATTCACCGGAGGAGCTGACGGCGATCTGAAGGCGAGCCTTTCATTCCCGGGGCACCAAAAACTAAGAGACCAAGAGACTTCTTTCGAAGCCGCTGCTGTCCCATGAAAATCAATGCCTCGATGGGTAATTAATAAACGCCCATAAAGATGCGGATACAATAAAAATTCCAGACTTTGAAGGCGGTTAGGGCAGAGGAAGCAACTCAAAAGGGTTTCTTTGATTGTGTAGTTTTTCCTTCGTTGATTTTTATGAGCTGGCAGCTGCGCTTTGGGGATTAACTGGATTGACTTCTAATCTCGTCCAGCAACTTCTCCCCCCCCTCGATGGTGTCCGAGGTTAGGGCCTGGATGTTAGGTAATCGAAATTGAGCAATCAAAGCCACAGTTGAGTGAACCCGACCCCAAGCCCTTCGTCCCGGCGGCTTCTATGCATTTTTAATTGCATTCTCATCATTTCATTTGAATATGATGTAGTAGATAATCATTGGGCTCGGGCTCCTGCCAGAGCAACGCCTTCCTCCAAAGTCGATTGTTAAACGACTCTGTTACCCAATTCACCTCCGTTGATTCTTCCATTCGGTGGCCAGAAGAGAATCAGAAGCTGGTTGCTTCACTTATCGCATCCATCACTTGATTTGTGTCCCAGCGAGTTATCCAACTTAATTAGTTTGATCTGCAGGACGTGTGTTTCACTAATGATAGTTTAGGTGGCCGAGCGCAGTATAAATTTGCCAAAGATACTGAGATACAGATGCGTATGCAGATAGGGGTATCCATAAAAATTTGTTCTTCTAATGATCGCGATAGGCATCTCGCATACGTTTAATTTGTACGGATTTATCTAAGATACACCAAAAAGTTCAGAGACAAAGCGAACTTAATGAAGTAAGCTGCTGCAAATCAAGGGCCAGAAGTTAATCTGTGAAATTTTTAAAAAGGAGGCTGCTTTTTTCTGGTCTCAAAGGGCAGAAGACCGAATTCAATTAAACAGAACCTGTTGCTTTGTTTGCTTTACCCGCAATTCAACTCACATTTCCGGAGCCAAAAAAAATTAAAAATAAGAAATAAAGCGGCGAACAAAACACGCAAATAAAATCAAATAAACAAATATTGTTGTGCAGTTCAGGCGAATCTGTAATTTCCCCTACAAAGTCGACAACAAAGGCTAAAAACAAATTACCAGCGAGAATAATTTCTCCGAAATTTCAACCTGGGGTTGAAACTGGATGGCGGGGGCGGGGTTTTTGGGTGGTTGTATAATATTCCCCGCCCAGCCATCCTGTCACTGCCATTTCCATACCCATACCCATTCCGAATCCCGATCCCGCTCCAGAGTTACAGAGTTCCAGAGTTCCACGCCGCTCCGTTAATGGCAGCGCAATTAATTCGAGCAAATCGTCTGTGAACCCTTTTTATGACCTCTAGGAGTCCCCGGCACATCCCGTCTCATTCGCAGATAAAAATTCATTAAACGACATCATTGGAGAGCTTTGTTTCGCTTTGAACTGTTTGCCAGGCGAATATAAATGCGGAATAGGAGCGCAAATGCCGAAAAGCGGTCTTTAAATGCTTCCGACTTTCCTCTTTTCCGGCCTGGCGAAAATTGTTTCGGTTTTATTTGCGTAAGCTGTTCCACTGCTGAATATAGAACATAAAGCCAGATACACCTGGGGGTCTAAATATAAAAGCTGCTTTAGGGTGAGTCAAGGCCGCACCTTGGGGCCAGGTCAGTTCTACACTCATAAACAAGTAAGTGATTATATTCGTAGCAAAATGACATTATTATCCATTTCTATGGGTTTTATTGGTGGCGGTTTTGAAAAGAGGACGATTTCGGGCAAAACCATTCATCTGAGCTACCTCGTTTCAGGGGCATAAATCTTGCTACCTCATCCGCAGGATTATATTGAACTAGTTCCCCAACACCATTAAACTAGCCCATTAGCTGGCTATTCAATGTAACAAGATAATTCCGCTGATCTATTACGCGGCTCAAGAGCCATTTGTCTCTCTGAACTCTTACACAATTCCAAAACCGAGTCCCGAATCCGAGACGCGAGTTCGAAGAACCCATTTGTGGACACCCTACGGCGCCGAGGGAAAAACAATGGAAAAGCGGCGGGCATCCGAGTGGGTTTTCCCGAGTTTTCCTGCGAGCTGAGCGCACCTAATGAGGGTCATAAAATCAAGCGCCGGGCCTGAACAAAAAGGGGCTCAGACGAGCGGATAGACCGAAACTAAAGCAACCTGAGAAGCTCAGGTGTGTAACAGGTCAACAGGTGAGCCAGCAATGAAATCATAATGCAGATTATCCCGAGCGGGCAGAACGAGTTGGCCGTGGCCCAAAAGGACATCCCAGTGACCATTACTTCTCGAGTATTTCTTTGATACTGTGCCGCAAACCTTTTAAATCGTTTGTTTGTGAATTACATAGAGGGCGTGTTTTCTTCCTTTTTCTGCTGCTCTCGCATGCAAATGCGTGTCAACTTTGACCCCAAGTGAGGCAGAATGGCATAATCCCCAAGAAGCGACCAGATGTGGAGCAGCAATAAGGGCAGCGAGACAATGGGAAAAACACAATTTAAGCTGCTCCAAATGCTCGACTTTTTCGACTGGCCGCCACTTCACTCGGCCCGACATAATCCAAACTAAATGTCCGACTTAATTTTGTTGTTCAGCTGTCCTTCTTTTGTGTGCACTGAGCGAAAGAAATGCATGAATTATTACTTGGCAATCGGCCCACCTTTTCAAACATGAAAACCCTTTTTCTGATTGAATACTTTCCTCCCATTTTTGTCAACCTCCTCGCTGTTCGATATACGTCCAAATATTATGCCTGTCGAATATAAACATTTATGTTTCGCCTTAATTTCCCCAGCCCCATTTTCTGGGTACCTGTCATTTCCCCGATGACTGACAAGTTGTGAAACGCGTTGATAGTGGAGTGAACTTATAAGCGTAAGTGCAGATTACAAACCTGAATACCGGTTCACTGACCTTCGGCAGGGCGGGTCTATTCAGGATGCCTGCGACTGACTTTGTCCGTGTTTTGTGTACTTCCCTGCTTTTTTTCGCCGTGTAATGCTGTGAATGCTGTGAATGCCGTGAACTTCGGGGTCCGCCCACCGATGAATGCCCGCTGCTCCGGGAGTCATCTTCATTCCGCTGGCAGCGCGTTTGTCCTGCCGTTTGTTTGGTTGCTGCTGCAGTGCCCCGCCCCCTGCCGACCTTTCCCGCCGCCCCTTTTCGGCTGTCGACGTCCACACAATTCAACTTCTACTTCTGATACTCATCTGAATTTGCATTATTTTCTTCTGCTGCTGTTTGCGTTGCTGCTGATTTTAATCTTTCAACTGCTCTCTGCTTTGGCCGTCGTTGCCCTGCTTTATTTAGTTTGGAATGAATCTTTTTTTATTTAGTTGGAATGAAGCTGCCTTACCGGTGATTTGCTGGTGATATGTACCTGCCGCCCTTCTGCCGTCCAGGTGAACAGGTTTCCTTTCCTTTGTTTGTCGCGCTCTCCAGGCTCCAACGCACTGGGCACTCCACTTCACTTTGGACTCGCAGTTTCCCATTTTCCACGGCGGTCTTCATTCATTCCGTTCGCATGAAGCGGCGAGGGCAGAAAAAGTATCCTAATTGGTATTAAAATTGACGTTATTTTTTCCAACTATTCCTGTGCATTGTGATTCGATGCCTTAATAGCTTGAATGGTGCCGCATTTGTCTTCTGGCCTCTGCCTGCGCACTTTATTCAGATTGCATTCTTCAAGCAGAGCAGGACAGTCGAGAGTCTTATTTCGGCCAAGTTTTGGGGCACTTTGGGCCAAACGCATTTCTCAGATGGCAGCGAGATTAAAATCGAAAGATAAACAACATGATCTCCATGCCCATCAGATGCGACTGGCCGATGTGGCCATTGCATTCGGTTTAATTTTCCCCTGCTTTTGTTTCGTTTTTATCATTTAATTTTTTCGTTACCTGATTTTCATCTTTTGTTTGGCGCTCGGGCGAAATGCCATGGTCGTTTTTGTTGGGTAGTTATGGGAAAAATGAAAACTCTGGAGGA